CTTAAAATACTTACAGATATTTGGTTTATGACAAAGAGGTCAGGCACATTTCAGATATCTGTGGCCTCTGACTGCATCTGGGAGATGTTAATTTTGTCCTGTGGGCACAAACTGTAATCTCCCTGCAAAACAAGTCCAAAATCCAATCTAACACTCCCACCCACACTTGATTTGCTGTTTAACACAAATGAGGGGCTTGGGAATACTTCCAACCCAGAGTAATAAACCCATTAAACCCTCAATAATAAACCTATTAAACCCCTAGTATAAAAGAATCATGTTATCTGCCACGAGAACTATAATTCTCACCAACAGCATCACTTGGATCCTCCAGCACAATTCCTGCCTTGAGCTGTGGAATACTGGGGGAGCTGTCCAAAATCAGGAGTTTGATTGGCTTGGGAAGGGATTGTGGGGAACTTTTGGCCCTGAAGAAGGGAAATTTCAACTGAAGGAAGCTGGTTTTGTGGCAGAGTGGTCCCTAAGAAATGTTGCAGCCTTCAGGAAAGGGGGGTGCCAGAAACAATGAATTGCTCAAGTGAGACTTTTTGGCTCCTGTACAATTAGCTATTCTTAAATTTGAAGTGAAGTTCCCCAAGCCTATGAAATGCCTTTTTCACCTAATCAAAGAAAAAACTTCTGAGCTTATTTCCTTTTTAAAAAGACAAAAGTTAGTTTTGTCACTCTGTCAACAAAAAGCACATTCCTACAGATACCCACCATGCTTGTCTCTGATTTGGAGTAGTCACCTTTGGGGTAGTAACCTTGTTTTGCTGTTTTCCAGCTCCAAAATTTCAGGCACAAATCCTCAATTAACCTGCCTAAATCCTGTCACCATCATAAGCAAGAGCTGAGGGTACAATAGGAGGTTTTTTTGCAAAGGATGATAATGATATAATGAATATTGTTGACATTCAAGCCCTTGTCATTATATTTCAGAGTTAATGATCCTTCAGAGGTGTCTTAGTCATTCCCATCTCCCAGGACTGTGTTTTCCTGCTGTTTGAGATGGAGGGAGATGATTTGTTACTCTGGAACACTGTTGGTTTATATTCCTGAGGGTTTGCTGGTGATGTGGAAGCAGAGCTGGTAACACAAATCTGAATTTACCACATCAGGTAAAGGCTGTCACTTTGTAGGTGCTGGCATCTCTAATAAATGTGGGATGGATTTTCTGGAAAACAAAGTAGTGAGGCATTCATACTCCCAGGTTTCCATGTTTGTTTTGTCATGCAGTACTTCATGAATTAGAGATGGAAATAAGAGTCCTCCTGGAGATCTGAGGAGTCACCAGAACATCAGCAGTACTTGCTCTGTCTCTTTGCATGGACACATTTTTCCTGATTCTGGATAAACAGCAGGAGAAGTGTCCTGGGCTGATCCCACAGTGTGGAGGGAGGGGATGGGATGCTCCCCCTCTCTTCTGCTCAGGTGAGGCCCCACCTGCAATTCTGTGCACAGCACTGGTGCCTCCAGCATAAGGAGGGCATGGAGCTGTTGGAGCAGGTCCAGAGGAGGCCATGGAGATGCTGAGGGGTCTGGAGCCAGGCTGGGAGAGCTGGGAATGCTCAGCCTGGAGAAGGGAAGGGTGTGTGGAGACCTCACAGCTCCTGCCAGGGCCTGAAGGGACACAGGGGAGCTGGAGAGGGACCCTGCAACAGGGACTGGAGGGACAGGACACAGGGAATGGGTTCAGACTGACAGAGGGCAGGGCTGGATGGGACATTGGGAATGAGGAATTGTTCCCTGGCAGGGTGGGCAGGCCCTGGCACAGGGTGCCCAGAGCAGCTGGGGCTGCCCCTGCATCCCTGGCAGTGCCCAAGGCCAGGTTGGAGCAGCCTGGGACAGTGGAAGGTGTCCCTGCCATGGCAGGGGTGGCACTGGATGGGATTTAAGGTCCTTCCAACCCAAACCAGTCTGGGATTCTATGATTCAGTGAGATGGACAAGGTAGAAATGGGCCAGCATTTGAGATGCAATGACACCATGGCCCTGTCTTGGAATCTCTTCCGTTCCTTTTGTAATTTATCTCTTTTTGTTAGTTTTCTGTTGTTTGGGGTTTTTTTATTCTGGTTTGGGATTTTTGGTCTCAGTTTCTGTGGTGCCCAGTGGCCTTTGAGGATTGTGTTGCCTCCAGCAATCACAGCTGCTGCTTCTGCTGCCTCGTGTCAGGTAGGAGCAACCTCTGCAAGGCAGAGTCTTCTGCCTGTGAATACATCTGCAGCTCCTTTTAGGGTCTGCTGTCATCTGGTGGCCCTTTACCTACCAAAACTTCAGGTCTCTCACCATATTTTTGTGCAGATCACTGGGCATGAGTTGTGGTGGAAAGCCTTTAGTGAGCACAGGAATCTGTTCTTGCCTCTTTGTAGTCCTCCTATTTTCTCCTTGGCTTTGGGAATTTCTTTAGGGTTCAGGTGATATGGGAATGAACTGTTTCCTGGCTTCCCCCCACTTCTGTACCTGTTCACTCATAGAATTCAGCCCAGTGTTGGTAATGACCAAATGGGATTAAATTTATTGGGATGTTACTGGTTCATGTTGTCAGGGTCTGGATAAATTCAACCAGGGCTGGTTTTTTGAAGCAAAACTTCCTGAAAGCTCCCCATTTTCCACATCTCCTCACTTCCTGGCAATTCTTGTACCTGTTGGTGACAGATCTGGGGATGAAATTGGGGTTAAAGTTGTCCATTTTGGTACAAAGTGTTGACTACAAAGAGGGACAGAGAGTGTCCTCACAAACACCAAGTCCTTGTCCAAGGAGCTGCTTCCCACAGGCTCTGACAGGCTCTGGGAAATTATTTCCATGTGGGAACAGCTGTGCACCCTTGAGACAGGATTCTTTTAGGAAACATATTAAACTCTTTTACTTTCTTATCCATAGAGAGAACATAATCTCTTTTCAAGTTTAGAGTGATAAAAATGTTAATTCTTCACCAGTGTTTTGGTGGTATAATCCCAGTTAGATAATTGGATTGTATTGAATTATCCATTCCTGCATGGAAAGGGTGCTCAGGCCTTGGCGGGGGCTGCCCAGGGAGCTTTGCAGTGCCCAGCCCTGCAGGTGTCCCAGCAAGGGCTGGAGGTGGCACTCAGTGCTCTGGGCTGGGGACAAGGTGGGCACTGGGCACAGCTGGCACTCCATGGGCTGGCAGGGATTGTCCAGCCTCAGTTATTCTGGAATTCTGTGAGCCAAATCAGTCCTGCAGAACGTGGCCAAGGTGTTTCTGCCTAAGGATGTCCACAAATGAGTTCACAGCATTCACAGTCATGTTTTATGGAACCCAGTTGCAAAGCCTGCCATATATTTGAAAGTAATTTTAATTTCCTTTCCTAAACAAGAAGTTTATCTATTCTAAAACATGCTTCCAAACTAACCTGATGCAAAATTGTTGTCTCATGAGAATTTTTTGTCACGGTTTCCAATTATAGGCGTATTTCAGATTACTCTTGGAGATTCCTTTGGGGCTTTTTGGTTTGTTTGTTTGGCTGGGTTTTTTAGATCTGTTATTTCTACAGAGGAAATGGAATTGATTGAAAATTAAGCAAATCCAGCTGACAGATGTGGATTAGAAGGATGCTATATACCAATGGACCAGTCAGAATGAAGTTGTAGCAAACCTTCCTTAGCACATGGGCACGATGCAGGGAAGAAACACAGTGATTGTTTTCCTTATTAGCAATTTTAATTAACTTTTAATTGATTTCTAGCAAGATAAATGGTTTCATTACCAAGCCTTACAATGAACACCATCACCAGAATGAAGCATTCCCGGCAACTGTTCTGAAAACAAAATGTGAAAATCTCTTATGATCTTCACAGATGTCATTCATAAAGGCAAATAAATGAGAATAGAGTAGGGCAGAGTGCCCTTTGTATAATTTACATAACCTTGTTCATCACACCCTAATTTAATTAAGAGGATGCAAAATAACAGGTCAGCATTTCATGATGAGAGCTCTATGAAACCTATTAATTTTGTCCATCCCTATAATTATGTGATAACAAGAATTATTTGGCTGACACTGTAATCTGAGGCTTGCTTCAGTGTGTGAGAACAAAGATGCCAACTAAAGAAATCGAGGTGGTTTTCTGTGGCAATCATCAGCCTGTTGTGAGCACAGAAGAATAAGGATGAAATGTGATAATGTTTGGGTTTGAAGAACAGGAGCAGGAGCAAAACAGAAATTTAAGTAGTTCTTCAGAGAGTAGCAATGAAAATATCACTGAGTGTGACAAATGTGTTAAGTGGAAAGAAAATTTCTAACTCACATGTCCCTTCTGTCTGTCTGCATCCATCCTTCATCTAAATTCATATTCCATAAGGATTTGGGCAGCAATGAAACACTGCTTCAGTGTTAAATAAAAATTCCTCTCAGACACCACCCAGTCCTGAAGATCCTTCAGCCTTAAAATTATCTGAGGGCTTGGCTTCACAAGCATGAAATTCATCCTCTGTTGAAGTTCAGAGAATCATAAGATAGAATCCCAGAATTATTTAGGATAGGAAAACTTCCAGGATTGAGTCCAGCCTGTGCCTGATCGCAGCCCAGAGCACTGAGTGCCACCTGCAGCCCTTGCTGGGACACCTGCAGGGCTGGGCACTGCAAAGCTCCCTGGGCAGCCCCTGCCAAGGCCTGAGCACCCTTTGCATGCAGAAATTGCTGCTGCTGTCCAGCCTCACCCTCCCCTGGCACAACTTCAGGCTGTGTCCTCTTGTCCTATCAAAAATCTCCAAGGCTGAGCAACTAAATGTGCCTTTTCTCCTCAAGGGATCAGGTTAGCCTGGCTTCTGTCACTGGGAATGCAGCCATTTGTTTCTGTGGGATGTTTTATCTTCAGTCAAAGCTCAGACAGAGGCAGGCTGCCCCAGACAAGCCCTCCTGGACACCACAGATTTGGCAGAATCCTTCCCTACCTCACCTGGTTTCTCTCCTGTGGGCGTCTCCCTCGGAGGTTTGCAATTTGTGCATTAACCCACGGTTTTCCTGCTGTCTCTTCAGGCTACAGATGCAGATGCTGGGGTTAACGGGCAGGTCCACTACAGTCTGGCCAACTTCAACAACCTGTTCAGGATCACCTCCAACGGCAGCATTTACACGGCAGTGAAGCTGAACAGGGAGCTGAGGGATCACTACGAGCTCGTGGTGGAGGCGACCGACGGCGCCGTGGACCCGCGGCGCTCCACGCTCACCCTGTCCATCAAGGTGCTGGATATTGATGACAACAGCCCTGTGTTCACCAACGCCTCCTACACTGTCTGTGTGCCAGAGAATCTCCCACCAGGAACTGTCTTCCTGCAGCTGGAGGTGAGGAGGTGATGAGTGAAGGTGGAGCGTGGTTGTTCTGTGATATTCAGGGTTCTTGTTTAGCTCGGCAGCGAGGCTGCAGTAAAAGATTGTGAACTGGAGAGTGGGGGTATGTTCTTTTGCCCAGAGAAGCTGTGGCTGCCCCTGGATCCCTGGAAGTGTCCAAAGCCAGCTTGGATGGAGCTTGGAGCAACCTCAGACAGTGGAAGGTGTCCCTGCCCGTGGCAGGGGTGGCACTGGATGGGCTTTGATGTCCCTTTCAACCCAAACCCTTCTGGGATTCTATGATTCTGAAAAATGCTTGGCCTTTAGCCAGGTACCAAAAAACCCTTTAAAGATAAGGTTATTTAGGAAATAATAGTAATTAATAAAAACAATGAAACAGCAAAACGTACACTGCCACCATCTACACAGGCAGACAGCTAAAGGCCAAGGGGAAGAGTTTTAAGCTGAGAGAGGAGAAATATAAATCAGATGTTAGGAAGGAATTGTTCCCTGGCAGGGTGGGCAGGCACAGGGTGCCCAGAGCAGCTGGGGCTGCCCCTGGATCCCTGGCAGTGCCCAAGGCCAGGCTGGACACTGGGGCTTGGAGCAGCCTGGGACAGTGGAAGGTGTCCCTGCCCATGGCAGGGGTGGCACTGGATGGGCTTTGAGGTCCCTTTCAACCCAAACCATCCTGGGATTCTGTGATCCTGGCCGTGGCCAATAGCAGGTGCCCAGGGAGGAGAGCTAAAACCAGCTTCAGTTTCCACTGCCATTTTCCCAGAACACTGTGTTCATTTCTCACAGCTTGAACCTTCAGAGAATTCTTCATTCCTTGTGTCTGTTCACATGGAATACAATTACAACAACACAGGTAAACTCAAGATGTCCTCAAAAGTTTACCCTTTGAATTTCAGAGGGATATTTTGTGAGGATGTGTGGGGTTCCCAGTTGCCAGGGTACTGTTCTTCAGTTTCTCTGGGTCTGCATTGAAGGCACTTGAGACAGTGGTTCATGTTCAGACTCAGATGTTTATTATTTCTTATCAGTAAAACAGCCTCACTGCTGTGAGTTCAGCAGCTTTTCATTAGAAGGCACAAAATGGCAACAATCTCTTGTTCCAAGGGCTTTTCAGACTAAACTGTCCAGTTAAGAGCTGACACCTGGATTATTTTCCCTTTTAACCCAATAACTGATCCCACAGAGCTGCAATATGGACTTTTCTGCCCAATGACAAAATGCCACCCAAACCCATGGAGAAGGAGGAAGAAGCAGCATGAAGAAGAAACCCAGGGTGACACCCTGTGCCCTCCATCTTTCTGCCATCCACAGCACACTAAAAATCCCCAAACCTCAATTTCTCACCCAGTGATACACCTACACTGCTCTCTAGAATCTATTGCACACTTTTGTGGGTTCATGTCATTATAGAGCATGACACAGCACAAAGTACCACAACTCCATCAGAAGGGCTCAAGAGAGATTTATTACAGCAACATGTTGCTTTTATACTTTTTCAAGATATTTGCATTCACTTAACATACACATTCACTGCCCATTGGTTATAAGAAAGAAACAAAGTTCTCAGTGGGTGATCAAGGAGCCACATCACTCTGTGAGCCAGCTAGAGTCCATATCTTTTAACTTTCCCTCCTTCATCACATGGCCATGGTGACAACCTTGGAGTCTTCCTCAGGAGAGATACAGGACTTTCCTTATCATCAGGAAGCCTTTGCTGGCTCACAAGAACAGCACAGAACGCCTTTCCTACAGGTTCTTGAAGTCTGGGAAACTTTCTCCATGTCAAAGTCAGTGCTCCCCTGGGGGTCAGGGCACCCCAGATCAGACAGAGAAATATTCCTGGTGCCCTGGGTTTCCACAAGGATGGATTTTGTGTGATGTCCCTCTGTTCCCTGCAGGCCAAGGACGTGGACCTGGGAGCAGATGTGAACTATCGGATCCGCACTGAGGAAGCCCGGCAGCATTTTGCCCTGAACAAGCACACGGGAGAGCTGTCGCTCCGGAAATCCTTGGATTATGAATCCTTCTCTGACACAGAGGCAACCTTCACCTTCCTCGTGGAAGCCTTTGACAGCAAGGGCACCATGCCACCTGGGCTGGCCACTGTCACCGTCAGAGTCAAGGTAAAGGGGTCACTCCTCAGCCAGCAGCATCCTCTCCCGAATATTCCACCACCATGCACTCTCTGCTCTCCTGCACCTCACTTACACCAGTCTTATTCTGTTCACACTTTGTAACAGCTGTAATTGTTCTCCCCATGTGCAGTTCCATAGTTAAATCCTGAATTTATGAAACCAAAGAACACCAGGCACAAATACAAGCGTTTTGTCCTCTAGAATCTCTAAAACTAATCTCTAATCTGAAATAAACCCCTCATGGAGTTGTTTGCTGTGGTGGTGTTCACAGGAGTTTAAGGATGAGGGAAGAGATGAGAATGTTAACTCCATGTTTCAGAAGGCTTGATTTATTATTTTATGATATATATTACATTAAAACTATACTAAAAGAATAGAAGAAAGGATTTCATCAGAAGGCCAGCTAAGAATAGAAAAAGAATGATAAGAAAGGCTTGTGACTGACTGAGACAGTCCAGACAGCCAGACTGTGATTGGCCATTAATAGAAATAACCACATGAGACCAATCCCAGATGCACCTGTTGCATTCCACAGCAGCAGATAACCATGGTTTACATTTTGTTCCTGAGGCCTCTCAGCTTCTCAGGAGGAAAAATCCTAAGGAAAGGATTTTTCAGAAAATATCATGGCTACAGTTTTTTGCAAAAGTGACACGATCACTTTTCAGCCGATAAATTGTGATTTTAACAACCACTGGGGTGTGTTGAGTGCTGGTGTGGCACAGCACACCCTGGATTCCAGATTCTGCTGCTGGAAAACCCAGCTCTGCAAAGGAGCAGCCTGATTTAGTGTCTTGCACCATGAGTTGCAGGGAGCTACAGCCTCACCTCAGGGTTTCAAGGACCTCCCCAGGGGTGCTGGAGTCTGTTTGGGAATGATGCACAGATGGAAAATATTTTATCTGTGATTAAAATACATCCCCATCTTCATTTGCCTGTGTCCTGGAGGAGATGAGAGCTCAGGTGCAGCTCTGTCAGTCATTCTGTCCTTTGGAGCAGTTGCTTGAGTTTCTGTGAACTGTGGGAGAAAAGAGACTTTAATTGCTCAGATTTTAGTGAAGGAGCAAAAATTGTAGCAGGATCAAAAGCACAGCTCACAAATATTCAGTTTAAATGGGTCTGTGAAAAGCATTTGCCAGTCATAAGGGTTCAGCCTGTTCTGTATCTGCAGGTGCTTGAATTACCACTTGGTTTTGAGTAATTCTGTTTGTCAGTCTCTACTGAGCTCACAATTCTTTTAGGACAGTAAATGTCTCCCATTAGTAGCTCTGGTGACAATGCCAGAAGGCTTCTATGATGCCTCTCTGTCTGCAAAATGTCTCAGTGTGAGGTGCAGGTCACCTGTTCCTGACTAATCCACGCTTTTCCCCAGCACATTCCACGTCATTGACAGGAAACAGCTTTTCCATCATTCCCTGAGCTGCTTCTGTTGCTTCTGTTGCTCAAACATCGTTTTTTTTTCATAAAAGAAACCCTTTTCCAGCACACTGAATTTTTGAAAGAATGGTTTGGGTTGGTTTGAGTGGATTTTTGGGGTTTTTTTTAAAGGTTTTCATGTAGGATTGTGTTCAGAGAAAAGCTGTTGCCTGTTTGATTGTGTGGTTGATTGTATTAATTAATGTCAGGGGAAATTGCAGTTCAGCTCAGTGGCCTCAGTACCAGCAGCTTGTACACATTCAAAGGAGGGAATAGGGGATTTAAGGAGGGGATTATTAGGATCAAAAAATCAGCTCATGCTCTCTTGGAAACTCTTCCCACACACGAGCAACAAAATGGGAGCATGTGGATGCTTTGGAGAGGCTGGAATACCAGGCTGGAGCCAGAAGTAACAATTTTGGAGTAAAAGGTGTTTGGCTGATGGCAGAACAGGGCCTGGGAGGGAGGACAAGCAGGGGGTGCTTTAAGTGAGAAAGAAAATAAATCAAACTTATTTTCATACTCAGTGACAGGCTGAGTTTTGCAACAGATCAGGGGACATAATCAAATATTATTTAAATGCTTGAGATGAAGATGGTGCTGGAGTGAGAGGTAGGATAGGGGAATTTTGAGTGGCACTTGAGAGAACGGAGGAGGACTTGTGGAAAAGCCAGATTTCATATCTCAGTGTGTTGGGCAGATGTCATTAGCAGGCTTTATGTCAGGTGGCAGATATTTTGAGCATTGGTCACGAGAGGGGTCTGGATGGTTTAAATTTAGCTTGAAGATGAACTTCCCAGATACAGAATTCACAGGGGTGAAGGGGGAAGGTGGAGGCAGAGCCCTGTGCTGTCCCTGTTTGAGATGGGAAGGATCCTCAAGACACCTCAGAAGGCTGATCCAAGAGTCAGAGCAGCAGGAGCAGGGTGCAGAGTCCTGAAACCAAAAACCAAGTGAGAACAAGAACAGGCCACCCTTTCCCTCCCCCTCAGCATCTTCTGCTCCTGCTGCAGGAACTGGGTGTGTTTCCTCTGAGTAGTTCCTGAGCTTTCCCTTTATTTACAGGCCGGGCTTTGAGTAATTACTTTAATACAGGGTTTGAGAGCCCAAATAGGAGCTCAACCAAGTGCAGATGCCCCACAGCCCCCAACATAAGAACACAAAATTGAACTAGAGGGAAGCAGAGGCAGTGCTGGGGCCAAGCTCATGTCACCGTCACAGATCCAGCCCCTCCAACCCTGAGGACTTTATTTGTGTTATTACTGAGTTCTCCAGCCCCCTGGGGCTCCCACTGCTCTGCTCACATTTGTCATTTCTCCCAGCCCAGCTCTTCACTGCAAGCACTGTAATTTTTCCTGGGTAATGGAATTGTGTTAAGCAGCTATGGATGTCTGATGGTGTCGTCCATCATTTGTGAGATATCCAATGGAATGAGCACAGCCAGAGCCCCCTGCTCCCTGTGGCTGCAGGAGAGGGATGCACACTGGGCTGTTCTTTGGGCTCTCAGCCCTTGGAATGACAAGTTACAAATAGTTTGTATTAACCTGCCCTGAACTAGGTCGAGGCACAGATTGCAGAGCGGGGCTTTCAGTGCAGGAGGAATAACTTCATCTGTACCCTTAGGTGGGGATGGAGCAAGTTATTGGCCTCTGCTGCAGCCAAAAGGCTCCTTGCATTGTGAGGATGTCCTGGGACTCCTTTGGCAGAGAAAGCCAGAGGTGAATCCATGAATTCATGGAATCATATCATTGGAAGTGACCTCTGCGATCCCTGAGTGAAACCATTAACGCCGCACCGCTAAACTGTGTCCCCATGTGCCACATCCACACATCTTCTGAGGCCTTCATCCACACTTCTTCCAGGGATTGTAACGCCTCCTCTGCCCTGGGCAGCCCCTCCCAATATCTGGCCACCCTCTGGGTGAAGAAACCTTTCCTAATATCCAATCTGAACCTCCCCTGGCACAGCTTGGAAGTTGTTTCCTTCTGTCCTGTCGTTGTTTTCTGGGAGAAGAACCCAATCCCCACCTGACTCCAACCCCTCAGGGAGTCATAGAACAATAATTATTGCATCCATTCAAGTATTTCCAAGGAGGAATAGTCTAAGTGGCCTTGATTTCTTCCCACCACTTCAAACAGACCAAGATTTTTCTCTTTTCCCCATTCTCAGATTCCTTTGACTGCTTTCTTAACATTTCCCCTGTAGCTGCAGGAAGCCATGGGGTATCTGTGAGGGCTGAGTTGGTTTTGCTTCTTGTTGTACACACAAGCATCCCCTCACAATCCAGATGATTCCCAGTACTGGAAAAAGCAAAATCCTTGCAGTTCAAATTATTAGGATTTAGCATTTGGAAGGAGCTGTTGTGGTAATAGGGTTTGATAACAGAAACAGTTGCTCTTAAGTGAGTATTGCATTCCTAAACATGAATAATGAGAATTTCTGTATCATGGGACCTGTAAAACCTCTGCATATTTTGTGCTGTGTCCTTCTCTTCTTATTACCAGCAGTTTTTTATTATTTTTCCTTTTCTTGTTTGTAAAAGTGCTTTTCTTTTCTTTGTGGGTTGGGGATTGGTTTGCTTTGGAATTTTTCAAGGACATTGTGTGGTGGAATGAAGCCATTGTCACAGGTGAAGGATTCAAAATTGAGAGAGCAACAAGAATGAATAAAAACCAGAGGGTTTCAGTTCTGACAATGCAAAAACAAATGAGGATGAGGAGGCAGTGAGGTGATTGAGAGCTGGCTGATAACAGGGGTCATGATCAGTGGCACAGCGTGTGGTTGGTGGCTGTCACTGCAGGTGTCCCCAGGGCTCAGTGCTGATCCCAGGATTATTTAAATTGTTCATCAGTGATTATGGAGGAACAGCCCCAGGGACCAGCACAGGCTGGGGGAGCAGCTCTGTGGGGAAGGACCCGGGGGACACTGAGCTGTGCCCAGGCCAGCAGAGTGTCCTGGGGCAAGGAGGCCAAAGGGACCCTGGGGCAGCAGGAATAGCCACACAATAAACATATTTTCCCATTTAAAGAGCAGAGCAGCCTCATAAAACTTACAGGAAGGTGGAAAAAAAATCAGCTGGATTACCTCCAAAATATTTCTCATTTCTGGTGACACTAATGGAATAACAAGCCTGGGGTTGGGCTACACTGATGGTAAACAGATTTATTTCTTTCATTCCATCTCAAGTGATCAGTTCAATCATTTGCCAGTCATTTATTGCCTCGTGTATTCCATCATGAGTATTATCCCTTAATTTATAGGATGAGCTACTTTAGGGCCTGCTGAGCACTAAATGGGGAAGAGATGCAGTTGTGCCATGAGAGCAAGGCCCTGTTCTGTGCAGTTTCAGACAGAGCCCTCTGTAAAGCAGCTTGCACCCACTCACAGACAAAATTCAAGGGGCCACTTTGGCCATATCAGCATCACCACAGGGGTTTGAACTTGGTGTCATTAAGCTGTGATCATTATGAGAGGCCAAGAGGATGGGAAGGGACTTGAAGTTCTTGATACTCCAGTATCTGGTGAAATCAGGTATTTCATGGAATCCCAGAGTGGTTGGGTTGGAAAGGAACTTAAAACTCATCCTGTTCCATCCCCTGCCATGGCAGGGACACCTCCCACAGTCCCAGGCTGCTCCAGCCTGGCCTTGGGCACTGCCAGGGATGCAGGGGCAGCCCCAGCTGCTCTGGGCACCCTGTGCCAGGGCCTGCCCACCCTGCCAGGGAACAATTCCTCATTCCCAGTGTCCCATCCAGCCCTGCCCTCTGTCAATCTGAACCCATTCCCTGTGTCCTGTCCCTCCATCCCTTGTAAATTCTCTCTCTCCAAGGTCCTCAATCCAATCGTTGCTATCAAAGAGAATTGAATGCTGGACAGATGCAGAGAGGGAGTTTTCAGGTTTTCAGCACAGAGAGACTTTGGACAACAAATATTTGGAGCAAGTCCTGGGCTTTGTTCTGAGGAGAGCCCAAAGCCCCAGATGTGTTTTGCTTGTAAACAGGTAAATAATTGAAGATTACATCTGATGGCTTCTTAAAAAACACCTCTAACCCTTGCACAGAAGTGGGTGCAGAACATGAGTGCAGTCCCCAAGCAAAGGTTCAGGAATGGGGCAGTAAACCTCCCACAAAGAGGCTGTAAGAACTCGTGAAATCACCTTTTAAATGTGAGACACAATCCCACAAGTGGGGCCAAACTGCAGCATCTTAAAACCTTCCCCAGTTCACTGCTCCAGCCACATAAATCCAGGCTGCCATTAACTCAAGTCCAGGCTCCTATTAATGATCAGACATGCTCCAAAATATGGAAATGGGAAATATGGGAAACAGATTCTCCATATTTCTCACTTTCAAGTACCAGGCTGCCTATTTTGACAGTAAGGTAATAATAGATTTACGTATATAATACCTAATAACGTATTTACAGATAACTACAAAGCAGCCTTTGTGTCACTGCTTCTCTGGCTGCAGATTTATTCTAGTTTTATACAGATTTATTTACAAAACAGAGCAAAAGGCAGAGCATAACACCCTCAAAGCTGTCTCCCTACCATAGATACTCTCTATCTACTACTTTTTTGTTGGTTTTGTTCCTCTTTGCTCCCATGGGGCAGCAGAAAAGCACTACAGGATCCTGACATCCCTCCTCTGCACAAAGATCAACGATGAAGTGCAGAAAAACCACAATTTGGGAGGGATCCCATTTCCCCACCACATTCCTCCTTCTCTGAGCAGGACACAGCTCATTCCCAGGGCTGGTATTTAGGAAAAAAGATTGGTAGGAAACAAACAGCGCCCTGCCTGCAAGGAGTATGAAAATGCTGAACAAAAATGTTGGGAAGTGAAACTGTCATCTGGGAATGGCAAAGAGGAGAAACAAAGCAGGAGGGGAGGGAAGGCACTAAGGAGGAATCAATATGTAATTTAAAACTCATTAAGGCAGTCACTTGCTGTAATGCACTGATACTAACCCAGGTGCTCCCAGACAGGCCAAATACAGGAAAATCCCTGAGGTGCAGCATTCCCAGCATAAAATAGCCTTGGGAATGTCACTGTACACAGGGAGATTCATGGCTTTTTGGTTTACGGGGGCACCAAGGGACCTTTCATGCTCGTGCCCCACTAATCTGTAAATGTAAATATTTAATACCTGGGTGTTTAACCCCCTCTTCCTCCTCCTGCTCTGGGAAAAGCACTCCTTGGATTCCAATCTCTGCCTCCAGATTCCCATGGAATCATGGAATGGTTGGTGTTGGAAGGGACATTAAAGCCCATGCCCTTCCACCATTGCCATGGGCAGGGACACCTTCCACTGGACCAAGTGACATCTCCCAATTAATAACACACAACATCAAATGAGGGACAGACTGGTCTGATTTGAATATGCTACAAACCTAAAGACTTTCTACAGGAGAAAACACTTTAATTGGAAAAAGTGTTTTGGTAAACATCTTGTTTTATAAAAGGAAAAATGAAAAACAGAGTTTCTTTTTAATCTCCACACAAAGAGAAGCAACTGTGGATGACCCTGCATAATATTTGAGATATGTTTAGGTGTATACAAATATATACATATATTTATGTATCCTTGCCTATCTCAGGCACAAGAATTTGTGTAAATGTCCTTTTGTCTTTCAAAGGATATCTTATTTCTCCTTAATTTATTGGATATTAGAGGTTACAAACACGACCAAGCCAGAGCAGCTCATTCCTTTTGGAAAATGAGGCAAGCCTGCTGCCACAGGAGCAGGTGCTGTGGAATTCTCAGCTCTGTTCTCTTGTGGGGCTGTGTTTTCCTGCAGAATTCCCTTCAGCTCAGCAGTCCCACATCCATTCTTCTGTGACTCTTCAGCACCTTCCCACCTCATTTTGTGCAGGGTTAATGGAATTGGGAGAGCCTGGGAATGGCAATTCCTACAGAGGGAGGGAGAGACTCAACAAAACCACTTGTGAATGCATCTGGAATTTTGCTGGAACTCCAGGACCAAACTCTGTCATGTATAAAATGCACATTGAATCCTTTGGCATCCCTGGGGCAGGACTAGAATGGGATCCTGGGCCCAGGGCAGGAGCTGTGGTCTGGGGGAGGCTCCTCTAGGTTTTTCACAGCTGTGGATGCCCTGATACCTTGTAGCCTTATAGAGGTTCCATTCTGGTTTTTTTAGCAATAAAATAGCTTGGATTTTTGTTTTTGGAGTCAGGTGTTGAGGGAGAACTTTCTGTGGTTAAAGGTTTTACCAGAGGAACAGGAATTTTCCAGTTCATTGATAGCAAACCACACCTTTGCTTTCCCTAGGAAGGAGTTCCACAATTACAGGAATGTTCAATGTGCCCCTGCAAGTCCCCAGACAGCAGGGAACTCTTAAACACTCCAGAACAAAACTCTGCCTTGTGTTTTTTGCAGGATATGAATGATTACTCACCAGAGTTCAGCCAGAAGCTCTACAGGGGAATGGTTGCTCCTGATGCAGTCAAGGGCACCGTTATCACCACGGTCTCAGCTGAGGATCGGGATCCCCCGGTAAGGAAAAACTTCCCTCAATATTCCACACCCAAAAGGCAGCAAAATCCAAGCCTCTGAAGTGCCCCTGCTCCCTCATCAACTCAGAGTATGGGGAGCTTGACAGAGGAGTAGCTGCTCCCTTTGTTTCATGTCAGCCTGGCTTTGCTGCTCAGGACGGGCTGCATTTCCAAGGCTGCCTGCTGGAGCTGGAAAATCAGTGCTGCAGCTCCTGGCTGTCAGGGAGGCTTTGGGAAAGCTCTTTATCCAGCTCCAGAGAGTGAGAGGAGCAGGCAGGAAGGGAGCTGTGCCTGTCTTTGGGGTGGTGCAAGAGGAAAGAACCCACAGTTTGGTGAGGTTGGCACTGTTTGATGTCACAGTCACAGTGCACATCCCTGCTGAGCCATCCCACATTGGTGTGGGACTGCAGAGCTCCCCAGCTGCACACTCCATGGGCAATATTTGTGCCCAGGGCATTTAGTTTGGGGATAAAGTTTATTTTTGTCCCTGTTTTTTGTTGTTTTTTTTTTTTTTTTTTCCCTGCTGCTCCCTGGTGAAGCCCTCCAGTGACACAACTGGGCACACACCTCTGACTCATGGCCTGTTCTGAAGTTTGATGGCAATTTTTGTCAGCAGAGCCTGATGAACATCAGTGGCCAGATGATCCTCTGAGGACAGGAAAAGGCAGAGCTGTTCTGCCAGCCAGGTTTAATTTTTAATTGCCAGAGTTTGGCATAAGAAGGAGAAAAATCCTCAGGGGGAACAGTTCAGGGGGAATGTGCCCTGCACATTAAAAGCTGATGAAGTGCTTGGACACAAATCAGGTACTGCTTAGCTAAATGTGGTGTGATTAGGGCTTGGGCAGCTTTTATTTAATATTAAATAGATGTTGTTGCCTTAAAATGAGATATTTTGGGCTCTCTTTGCCCATTCTGATAAAAGCTCCATTTTATAATTGCTGTGTCTAAGTTTTGAAGACTTGGAGATCACTGAGGGGAAACAAAATAGTTCTGATTAAGTCATTTATAATCCTCAGTCCTGTGCAATCAGCATTTCCACTGCAAAGTTATTTCATTTTTCATTTAACAACCCCAAACCCTACTGAACCATTTTGTAACATTTTTGTCACTATCACATGAACACCTGTTGAAGTTTATGAAGATTTAAAAATGAAGTTACCCTGAAGCCTCTAATAAATGCAAGGGCCATAAAAGTCAGCCAGCTACAGAGGGAAGCTTTTAAAGGAGGTTTGGAAAGGGTTTGTTATTTTAAAATAATGGCTGGTAGTTGTGTCCCTCATCTTTTTTTATTTTAAAAATTACCAGGCATAAATGGCTGTGTTTCTTTTTCTGCCTGAGCCAGCCTGTGCCACTGGAAAAATCTCTATTTATTTGAAGCTGGCTTTGACATTAAATGATGTCACAAAGTATTTGATGTGAATTCACAGGAAATTTGCTTTAAAAGCACACAGTCTTTTCTCTGCTCAGCAAGGGGACCTTGCTCTAAACTTGCCTTAAGGGATGGAATATTCTTAGTTATCATCAATACTTTACTTGTGTGGTTTGGGGGTTTTAAACCTGTTGGAATCTTATTTGCAGGTTACTAATACATTTATTTTATCAGTTGAGGGAAAGAAATAAGTATCTATTAAAAAATAATTGTAGCTTTAAAATATGCCTGTTTATAAGAGCCCAACTAATTTGAAGTCTCCAAGCTTAACTTTTCCTGTTGTCATTTTGCAAGTAATAGATGTGATTCCCATATCCAGAATAAAAGCCCAGCCAGATTTTTCCATCATCTGCAATAAAAGCTTTTCAGACCTAATCATCTCCTCAGAGACAAGCATTGTTTTCAGCAAATCCCAGCGTTGTCAAATGAATATGGATGCTGTGAGGATGCAGCTGGAAAGGCCCAGCACCTGTGTGGGATTTCTCTGCAGATAAGGCAAATTTGAAATTTTCCAGGAGCAGAAGGGCAGCTCTGGGGGAAGGAGGAGGAGCTGGGAATGATGGCAGTGGAGGTGGGCTCCCCATTTCAATAAACAAGGATTAATTTAGGTGAAGGACAAGAGGGTGAAAGACACCTGGGACATCGTTTTCTGTGTGTATTTCCTAAATTATTTAGGAATTTATGGCATATAGGGGTAAGAGTGAGCTTTTGCCATTAAATGAATCCAACAGAACTTCATTTACTGGAGATGGAGATGAAAGCATCACTTGGTTGTATTTTAAAAAATCCTCCCATCAAACTTCCACACACTGAGTTATTTACAACTCCGTGTACCTCCCATGTGTATCCATATGAACAAATCTGAGGGTGAAAATGTGGGATTTTCTTAATTTAACTGGTGCCTAAAACCTTAGGCTATCATTAGAATGTACTGTTGATGAGAGGATGGGTTTTGCTGCAAAAACCTCGCAGATTTCTGATTATTATGAAGAGTTGCTCAGTTAAAACACTTTGTGGCAGAGTCAAGCACTTCCTCAGAGATACTTTGTAATGTTTTTATTTCGACCTGTGGATTTCAAAGTGGTCAAAACCTCTTGGCCTGGAGGCACCAGAGACCTCTGATAGTTATTCTTCAGGTCCTTGGTGAAATGTCAATTAAAACATAAAACCCAGAGCCTTTCTCTAAAGGCCACAGCAAGATTTGCAGGGCTCTTTTGAGTAAATGTCACTTTAAATTCTTACCAGTTGCTCCTTTCTTTTCTAGTTTTAATTCTCTTTTTATTTGCAGCGACTGAGAATGTAAATTATGTTTAATAGCTACTTTTACATGTGTTATAAACTTGAAACATCCTTCTGGTCACGGAGATTTGGGAAATGTTGCCTGAAAACTTGGATTTCATGAAATTTGGTGAACCAACATTTTGTCCTTTGGCTGTTTGGAACAACCAACACTAGATTTTTCTACATTTTCAAAGTAGTAACAATTTATATAAATACATAAATAATTTTTCAAATCACTTGGTGCATCCTCAAGTTGCTCACTCTGTCTTTCCCAGAGGAGCTTCTACCTAATTCCAGGTACAAGCAGGAAATATTAAGCAAAAAGCAACAAAATTAGGCCAGAGGGAATGATGAGGATAAAGCAGAGCCATGGCTGCCAAGGAAAAACTTGGAGACAGCTTAAAATCTTTCTAAATAACAGGTAAACCTTATAACAATTCCTGTGTTGGAGGCACCAGATCTCCAGCTGGGGTCTCACCTGAGCAGAGTAAAGGGGGAGAAGCACCTCTATGAAAATATTTCAAGTCCTGCTTTGCTTTAGTTAACACAAATTTACTCAGATTTGGGTTCTCTTAGATATTTCCCAGCCTTTTCAGGGAAAAATTCCAAAGGCTGGACAAAGCCAGTACCTGGCTCAGTCACCTGCACTTCTGGATGTTCCTGGCACAGGCTCCAGTGTCCCAGCCAGCACCTACTGCCAAGCATCTCTTTTTTGGGCATTTAGATCATCCTTTGTAGCTGAAGAAATCATCAGCCTGGATTAGTGTTGGATAAATCCCTTGGAGACAAGGAGAGTTTTCTTCCTGTTGAAGATTTTATGCCTCACTGAAGTAGCCTGGTAATGAGAGATGAAAAAATGGTTCTGAGTGGTCTCAAAGCTCTTAATCTTCCAAAAATGTGGGCAGGAGAGCACGAGGAGCTGTTTGATAAATGCTCAGTTTATTTACCAGAGGGAATTCCCAAGACTGACATAAAAAGAAGTGTTTGTTTTTCCTGTATATCCCTTTTTTGATATGGGTTATCACTGTAAAAGCTGGGATATTTCTGCCATGGGCAATTCCCTTCCATATCCTGCCTTTTTTTTTTGATTGGAAATGTTAATAGAAACAGATGCAGAACACTAATTTTAATGAGCAGCCAGCTTCCAGAGCTCCAGAACATCCCATTTAATGCTTTATCTATCTCCTAACACCTCCTGAGGCTTTCCTTCAGTGGAGCCCTTTTGTCAAATTGGGAGTAATTGTCCTTTTTGTCTTCCATGCACTCACTAAAAGTAACAGGCTATGAGATATTCAATTAAAGATTTCACTGCATTTTAATTGGAAGTAAAACCATTTTCAGCTCTGGCCAGACCTTGGTATTTTAAAAGTGGAATTTCAGTGATATGGGACACATGCTGCAAATTCCAGGAGTTCCTCAAGTAATTTTATCTCAAGCCTTTAAAAGTTGGTGGGTTCTTCTGTGAGAGTTAAAAATTCAGAATTTCCAGCTTTAGCAATTCAGAATTTCAGGTTCTCTTGTTGAGTTACCTACTATAAAGAGTAAAATCCTTCAAATTTTAGGGTTTATATGAATGAAATTAAGATGAATTTACACGAGTGCACCATTCCCAGCCACCAAACTCATCATCCACCTACTCTGGGCTGCCCCATCTTCCATGGTTGCTTTGAGTAAGTTACAAAAACCAGTAAAAAGTTACAAAAGTAAGTTACAGAAACCTGTAAAACCTGTAAATGTGGGGGTTTAGCACCACTTTCTAATTTTTTTCATGGAACTAGCTTTACAAAATTTTCCTTATTGAATTCCTTATTATACAAATTGCTTAGGTTTGAGTTGAAATCTACATGTAGAGATAATATATGGAGATTTACATGGAAGTTAACTCTGTGTTCATGATGCTGCTATTCCAATACTGGTCCTTAGGGGTGAAACCCAGGCACACCTGGGATCTTCATCTGTCAGCTTCAAATGAAAGTGAAACCCATTTTTCCCCATTCTTTCCTGGGCCAAGAAATGTTGTGTCTGTAACCAGTTTGAGTCCCAGAGTGGTTTGGGTTGGGAGGGACCTTAATTTCTGTGTCAGAAATAAATGGCATTTTCCCCTGAGCAAATGGAATTTTAAGGAATCATGCAGCCATGGAAGAAATAATTGGAGCTGGATGAGCTTTTTTTAAAGTTTTATGTTAGTCCTGAATCTCAGGGAAACTTTGGAGAGAATGAGTGTGACTCCTGCCAAGCACAATCCTTACTCTGTGGTTTATTTGGGAATATTATCAGCTAGATTCAAGTTTTGCTGCAGACATAATAATGCATCTAAATTAATTTAGAACAGAGGCAAAAGATGATTAATATTTCAGATAATTAAAACTCGCTTCTAAATAGATTTCCCTGGGAAATCTCTCTGGAGATTTTTCTAATTACATCAGTGCCAAAATGCCATAAATAAAAAATAAATCCTGGTTTTGTTATTCTTCTGAAGTGACAGGAGCAAAGTGTACTTGATAATCACATCAGGAACAACAATAACCTGATGAGATTTTTGTTTATTTAATCACAAATTACCTGGTGTGAGGAGCTTTAATGATGATGAGGATTCTTAGTCTTCCAAGCAAGTTTAAGGCCATTACTCCAAGCCCAAGCAGGCTGGGTTTCAGCAGGTAATTTGCTCTTAATTATAACATTGAAGAAAAATGACTGAAGCAGGGAATGCCAGGGGGAAAGTTGATAATGGACTCTGCTATGCCATGATCCCAGAAATTTCTCACTTTTTCCAGGATTTGCCCTCTGTAGCATGTGTGAAGTGCTTTTAACTATGAACACAATCATTTATTAATTTGCTAACCACTGGAACATGCCTGGCAGACCCATTTGGGATGATTAAAGTTGCTGATGGCCTCATAAACCCTGCCCAGGCTGGAATTCCTTGGAGAGCTCCAGGAAGCAATGCTCAAATGACTTCTGTTGGATCAGCAAAACATTGATAGCATTTAGTGAGCTCAAATCACTTTTGTAGCCATTTCCATTGCTGTTTACAAAAGGAAATGTTCTGTTTCCATGTAGTTTGTGGCTGGCATGGGACAAGGAATATATTCCCAATCCCAACAAAGCACATTATTGAATACAGGTAAAAATCAGCCATCCACCATTAATGATGTTTTGGCTGTTTAAATACAAAATAAAGGTCAAAGCCTGATCTGAGCTTGAAACTCAGAGGCATTCAGAAAATTAAATCATGCTGTTGCTAGGACAGAAGTGTTTCTCTGAATCTACTCCCAAATATATTTGGGAAAAAATTTAGTTGGAATTTAGTAAAATGTCCCAAATCTCTGCATATCCAGACTTTGGCATGGAATGGAAAGTCATTATTCAATAATGGAAAATATTGAATAATGGAAAACCATTATTCAAACATTAGTGTGCAAAGAGGGAATCTGTCCTAGGATGAAGAGGCAGATGAGACATCCTACAAGTAGCTGGGAGAAGTCTTCCCATTGCAAACTCTGGTTCTCATGAGGGACTTCACCCTACTAGGTGTCTGCTGGAAATGAAACCCTGCAGAGACAAAACCGTACAGGAGAGACAGAGAGAAAACATCCAGGAGATCCAGTTCCCCTGGAGTTTGTGGAAAGAAAAGGGCCAAAGCCCATCTAGAATTTCTCTGGCTACAGCCATAAAAGACAATAGAAAATGTTTCCATAAATGTACCAGCAATAGGAAGTGGGCTAAGGACAATCTCCATCATTTATTAGATTCCAGCAGGCCCAGGGCAGGGCCCATCCCCCTGTGCTGGCACCTCAAATTTTGGGCTCCTCATGGCCAGAGAGCCCTGGAGGAGCTGGGCAGGGGCTGGAGCCCCAGGAGGGGCTGAGGGAGCTGGGCAGGGGCTGAGCCTGGAGCAAAGGAGGCTCAGGGGGCCCTTGTGGCTCTGCACAACTCCCTGCCAGGAGGGGACAGCCAGGGGGGGCCGGGCTGTGCTGCCAGGGAACAGGGACAGGACAAGGGCAAAGGGCCTCAAGCTGGGCCAGGGGAGGCTCAGCTTGGACAGCAGCAGCAATTTCTGCATGCAAAGGGTGCTCAGGCCTTGGCAGGGGCTGCCCAGGGAGCTTTGCAGTGCCCAGCCCTGCAGGTATTCAATAAAGACCTGGCTAGTGGGACATGGGGACACTTTGTGACACATCCAGGCGTGCCTGGGTTTGGTCCTTGTCACCAAGAGTCTGAACCATGGGGAGGGTTCCTTATGGAGCTGTTTAAAATCCATCTGCGAAACAGCATTTTCTTTAGCCACTGCTAAGCTTCTTAACCTTTAAACAAATTTTATGCCAAGTCAAAATATTTTTGAAAGGTGTTTTAACCAGCCTTAAGCCATGCCCATCTTGTGTTTAAAAATTTCAGTTTTTATAAAACACTTCTGGGTTTAAGAAGGTGGGGGTTCAGCCCTTTTCTTTCCAAACCTCTGGTGATTTTTCCTCCTGGACCTCTCAGGTGTCATGGAAGGTGTTTGGGGGGGGATTGAAGGGGTTGCTCAGGTTTGAGGAAGACAAACAGCAAGTTTGGCTTGATGGCCTTACCAATGTTACATTTTAATCCTTCAGGAGGTGTGCAAAACCCCAAAAATCTCCAATTTGCCTCTTTTTGCTTTCCAGGGCACCCCAGCGAGTCGGGTTCGCTACAAGGTGGATGTTGTCCAGTTTCCCTACAGTGCCAGCATTTTTGATGTGGAGGAAGACTCTGGACGTGTGGTCACCCGAGTGAACCTCAATGAAGAGCCCAGCACAGTGTTCAAGGTACAAATTCAGCTGCAGTGCCACAAAATTCCCTAGATTTGCTGGGATTCCTTTCACCATCATGGTTCTCCTTTGTTTCTTCTGTTGCATAGAATGATTCCAGAATCATTGAGGCTGGAAAAGACGTCCAAGATCAAATCCAACCTTTCATTGGATTTCTATGCAAAATTTCCATTCTGTTTGTTCTTTTGTTTCTATCTTTTTCTTCTGGCGTGTGTTTTGTGCCTTTGTGATTTCAGGAATGTCTTGAAAGTTGCACCTGTTGGGAGGGTGGGGAAAACAGGGAGGCAGCTTGGAGAACCCTCATTTTTCCCAAGTTCACTTTCAACAGGGCTTTTGGAGAGAATTTGGGGAGAACTTTGTAAGAAGAGCTAGATGTCTTGTAAATGAAGCTACTGCACAGCTGGGTAGTTCAGGACTTCTTGTTCATGAGTGTTTTGATGTAAAAACGTTGATTTTAAGGAAACCTAAATTCCCATTTTGTTGTCACTGGTCCTAAAGATTCTGGGGTGAATGAGTGTGGATTAAGGTGTGATTTTAACCTAAAGCAGTAGAGCATCTGCCCTTTAAGATCCATGGGGTAGTAAAAAATGAAAATAGAAGTGGGTCAGTAAGGAAAAAAAATAATCTCCATTATATCTTGGGTTGGATGTAATTTCCCTACTTGGAAACTTCCTTACACTCATTAATGTGTTCTTTTCTTCTTTCAGTTATTTATTTCTGAAATGAGGGTTAAAGAGAGGTTTATTTGCTCACCTTCCTTTGTGAGGAATAAAGCTGTCCACTGTTTTCCACTCCTGAGTGTCCCATCAAGGGCTACTTGAGCTGGAGCAGTCCCTGGTTTAGGACAGTGCTAATCTAAGTCCTTTTAAGTTTCTAATTAATATAATAAAACCCAAGGGAGGAGAGGATTTTTTTCTTGGTTAACATCACCAGAGTGGAACTTTTCTGTTGCTGCACTTGCTGTTTTTACTTCTGAGTACTTATTTTACTTCTAGTACTTATTTCCAAAACTGGGACCTCTCCCACACTGTTTCATATCAGGGCAGTAAATGCGACATTCAGCAGGGAATTACTTTCCAGAAAATGTGAATTCTTGGGGAAAAAACACAGAGAAGACTCCAGAAATCAGTGATGGGAACACTTGGAGTTGGTATTTACTTCAAGACCACCGGGCTTGTGTCTGCTGCTGAATCCTCTGGGAATTTTTCCAGTCACTATTTAACATCTGGGTAATTTCTGCAATTATATCTTGTACTGAAACAAAAAGGGTTATTGTGGAATAGCTCAGACTGGCAGAAATGAGTTGAAAATGAGGTACAGACCTGCCTCAGGTAGAAACCTCCAGAAATAAGGAAAAGATTTAGGGACAAAACTGGGAAAATGCCCATCGTTCCTTCTTCAGTGGGCTGGAGTCCACACACAAGAACACTTCATGGGAAGCTAAAAAGAAATTAACCTGCTTGTGCCAGCACAAAATCATGAATTAAGTCATCAAATAGACATGAGAAAAGGTTTTTAAAAATCTAAATATTTAGAACAGGTCTCATTTAAGAGAAGGTAGTTTGGTCTTGTCCACGTCTTTGAGCTTAGAGCATCTCTTTTCTGAGGAGGACTTTTTGGAAGTGGTTGGAAATAATGTTAATTTTTTTTATTCTAAGACGAGCCCTTGGTTCTAGATATTAATGTCAGCAACAGACAACTGTCACCCAGGGCTTTTCCTGCTTGTTTTGTTGGGAATTATAGAATCATTGAGGTTGGAAAAGCCCTCCAGGATCATCAAGTCCAACCTGTGACCAAACCCGCCAGAGCACTGAGTGCCACAACCAGCAGTTTCTTGGACACCTCCAGGGATGGGGACTCCACACCTCCCTGAGCAGCCCATTCCAATGGTTAACAACCCTTTCCAGGAAGAAATTCCTCAAATTTACTGTGTTTCTGTAAATTTTCCAGCAGAAGTTCAACCTGAGGATGGCTGTCACCTTTTCCCTCCGTGTTTTGTTCTTACACCGCGTGTGATTTCCAGCAAAAGAAAATCACGTCTGATTTCTTAAACCCTGCAAGTACCAGAATTGCTGGAAGTCAGGATGAAAAATGTTCTTCTGTGTAGTCAGAGCCTGATTTTCTGTGTTGTTTGTAGCTGGTGGTCATTGCCTACGATGATGGGGACCCGGTGAAGTTCAACACCACCACGGTGGAAATTGCGGTGCTGCAGCCCTCAGTCATCCCACGCTTCACACAGGATGAATACAGGTAAGGAGTTCGTTCTTTCACCCTAAAACTGATGTTTTTAAAGTCAAAATTAAGTCCTCCTTGAAGGGTAGTCTGAAACAGAGCTACAAAAATACTCTGTTGTGGTGGAATTTTACTGTCTGAGCAGGTTGTCACCAGCTGGAAAGATCTGGGCTGATGGTGATGGAAGGTTTGCTTGAAATTTTCCCCTCAGAAGTTGTTGAAAATATCAGTCATTTGGATAAACAAATTTCATGTGCTGGAACTGGGACTAGGATCACCAGGGCTCTAGGTTAAGTTTTCTGGAGTTGATTTGACCCTCTGCATCATTTGTGTGAGGCATGGGAGGACTCAGACCCCACCTCTTCAATGTTAGAAGTGCAGGTGATGGTTATTATCACCACAGAGACATGATTTCATCATTTTACCCTCTGACAGTTCATTATCATCGACCTCAGTATCTTAAAGTTGATCAAAAGCAAACCAAAAAGTGGGCTGGTTAGCTTGATAATTTTGTAGCAGAGAATGTGCTCATGAATTTGACATCTGTACAATAATAGGAAGTGATAAGATCAGGGCAAGCAGCTTCAAGATATCAAGAAGTTGCCATGTGTTCTCTCTATGCCACTCTAGTGACATAATCAGCAGCAGAATGTAGTGGGGTTTGTACAGATATTTCCAAATCCAAGGACTGCAGGGAATCAGAAAGCAGAAATTGAACACTAATTGCCTTCAGTAAGCCCTAAAGGATGGGCTTGTTCAGCTATTTAAACAAGTTTAGACAAACAAACATTATCTGTGCTGTATTTGTCCTCATGATTTGAGTATTAGCATATTTCCCACTTAAAGAAATGAAAAACAGCAAAAACATGCCTCTCTTCTCCTAATTTTATATTTAACTTGGAACAAATATGAAATGTGAAGGACCAGTGCAAAATGACAAACTTTGTATTTGATAATAATCCTTGGCTGAGGGATTTTTCGAGAGAGAGATAAAGTGTTCCTGCTGCTCCCTGCAGTTTCTTAGGTATCTCCAGAGGTGTGCAGTGTTTGCTGCATTATTTTGGGTAATGTAGCAAATAAAAACATGTTCATTTGTGACTGGAATTTCAGATCAGGGCAGGCAGGTCTCTGTTGGAGCAAACTTGCTGTGGAGCAAGTCCAGAGAGGGCTCAGAAATTGCTGAGGGGGCTGGAGCAGCTTCCCTGTGGATCCAGGCTGGGAGAGCTGGGAATGCTCAGCCTGGAGAAGGGAAGGGTGTGTGGAGACCTCAGAGCTCCTTCCAGGGCCTGAAGGGACACAGGGGAGCTGGAGAGGGACCCTGCAACAGGGACTGGAGGGACAGGACAAAGGAATGGGTTCAGATTGACAGAGGGCAGGGCTAGATGGGACATTGGGAATGAGGAATTGTTCCCTGGCAGGGTGGGCAGGCCCTGGCACAGGGTGCCCAGAGCAGCTGGGGCTGCCCCTGCATCCCTGGCAGTGCCCAAGGCCAGGCTGGAGCAGCCTGGGACAGTGGAAGGTGTCCCTGCCATGGCAGGGGTGGGATGAGATGGGATTTGAGGTTCCTTCCAACCCATACCAGTCTGGGATTATGAGATTTCTGAGCCTGTTTTGATCTCCAGTTTTATCCCAGGAGCTGGGAATGTTTTTTCACTGCAGTGACTTGTAGCCCATAATACCTTTTGATGACAACACCTGAATAAGCCAGGTTATCTTTGTGTCCCTGTGAACCCTTCAGGATTATCTGGACAGCCTGCCTTCCCTTTCCAAAGCACAGCTCCATTCCTGGGAAGTTCTTTGCACAGTGCTAAGAAGCTCTTTAAACCTTTTGGGGACAGCAAAGGCAGTTATTCATTTTCCTCCATGTCAAAAATGAAATCAAAACAACCCCAGAAGTTTCTGATTCAGCTCTGAGACTCTCAAATACTTGGGAGCAGGACTGGTGTTGATTCCTAAGGTTTCAGGGACTGTCACACTCTGCAGGCTGTGCTTTGTGTTTGGTTTGTTGGCAGTGGTGCAAGCTGGAGCTGGCAGGTGTCACAAGCCCTCATTTTCCAGGGATATCTTTAGGGTGAAAGGCAGCACGGAGCAATGGTGCCCCTTGCAAAGCAGAAAACTGCTGGATGTGAGTGCTTGAATTTCAGATGGATTGAGAATTAGTGGCTTTAGAGTGGATTAGTATTGATCTTTGTTTGTCTAATTATCATAATCTGGGTGATTCCAGCGCTGTTCTTGAGCTGGTTTACAAACTTCCTCCCTGTGTATTTAGGGAAAGGTCAGAGTTGAACAGTTTTACCAAATAAAGCTGCAGCCTGTGCTACAAAATCAAAACCAAATACAAAACAGAGAGAGAGCAGATGGCACGAGCAGAAAGGGAGATGAAAGTGCCACTCTGCCTTGAGCTGGCCTGCAGAGCCTGGCAGCTCTGCCAAAGCAGCACCAGCACTGCTTGGAGCCCTCTTCACACCCAGGGAGACTTTGATTGATCATTACCTGTGTTCAGAGTCACTTCCAGAGGAGACACCAGTCAAGTGCAGGAAGGCAGAGTGGTATTTATTCACTGGCTCTCCCTCTGCATTATTGCATCATTTAGGGCAAATTAATTGGTCTCTTTTCCCCCCCACCTTCTTTGTTTGGATTGTAAATTATTCTGGAGACTTCTAAACGCTGCTGTGCTCTCCATATTGAACAGCAAAGGGCAGCTGAGGGCTCTGAGATCCAGAAAATACAGAATGCAGCAGTTGATTAATGATAAGTGGGGAATAAAATACAGTTCCTTTGTGAGGAACTGTGAGAGATCCCACCTTAAGTCCATCAGATGGGATCTTCTGTATCCTTGGCTCCTCTGGAGGGGACTGGTAAGAGAAAGCCAGTTGGATTTGGGGTGTTTCTCACCCCAGCATTCACTCCCTCTGAGAAGCAGGGCAGCAGTAGGGCAACCTTCTCACTCTCTTCAGCTGCCTGGAAAAAGGTTGGAGCCAGGATGGGGTCAGGCTGTGCTGCCAGGGAACAGGGACAGGACAAGGGCAAAGGGCCTCAAGCTGGGCCAGGGCAGGCTCAGCTTGGACAGCAGCAGCAATTTCTGCATGCAAAGGGTGCTCAGGCCTTGGCAGGGGCTGCCCAGGGCAAGCCTGGAGTCCCCATCCTTGGAAGAGCTCACACAGGTGTGGATGTGGCACTTGGGGACGTGGTTGACTGAGGATGACTCAGAGAGGTGATGGCAGCAGTGCCTGACAAACAAAGTGATTTCCAAGCCAGGCATTGTTCCACAAAAACACAGTGGGGAGAAAAGAGGCAAAAATCCCAAAGAATCGAAGTGCTGGGGCGTGTGGACATTTAGATGGAGATGGCTGGGCTCAGCTGACCTTTGGTGCCAGGGAAGGACACTGCTGGTGCTGCTTCTGTCACCACATCTCCCTCAGGGTGTGGCTGTCAGATTCCAGGGGTTTTCTGCAGAGCTGGTGGAAGACATGGACACATCCAGTGTCTCCAGCCCCGGGCTGGTGGGGACAGGGGAGATTTTCTACATCCCTGCCCCAAACAGGGTGAGACAATTCACACAAATTATTAAATGGTTTTAAGGCTGGCTTTGATCTCTGCTTTGTGCCAGCAAAATGGTCTCTGGATAAAGAACTGTGGAATTCCAGAGTGGGTTGGGTTGGGAGGGACCTTAAAGTTCATCTTGTTCCACCCCTGCCATAGGCAGGGCCACCTTCCACTATCCCAGGTTGCTCCAAGCCTGTCCAGCATCCTTTGGATACTTCCTGCCACAGTTCCTCTGGGCAACCAAAAAAAGAAGGTTAAAACCCAATAAACCAAATAAATCAATTTTTTGAGAACAGCAAATCTGCCATACAGAGCCCCTTTCCCAAGCTCTTCTTTCTTTTGTCCTGACTTCACCCAGATCACCTCTGGATCAAGGATTTCATTCCAAAAGTTTCCATTACTTCACAACAACTTATGGCAGCACTTTCATTTCTTAATTAACAGATATTAATTAGTAGCGCTATGAAACAGTGGAGAAGACCAGATGTAACTGGAACCTCAGATGAATATAAAGAGGTATTTTTAGCAAGCCTGTCCTCTTTATGAGCACGTCCTCAGTTTAAAACACTAAAAGTTGAAAGGGATTTGGGGTCTTTTTGGTCTTGTGTTAATTAATAAATTCCACATCCTCTGCAAGGGGAAGGTCATTGCTCGTCGCTGGAGCAGGGAATGGGATGGGAACCAGGAGCAGCATCATTGCTTCCTAATTAGTGCCTGTGGGCACATTAACCAGGTGTTCAGCCATTCCAGAACAGGAAAAACGGGGAATTTTGCAAACTTACAGCTTCTGTTAGTGTTGCATTACAGCTCCCCAGCCTGTCAGAAAAGATGTGTCCAGTTGCCCAGCAATCTGAAGTTTTATGGGGAAATATGGGAAGCTGTGAATTCCAGGCTGTAACTCAGTGTAAGTGTAGTGTGGCATTTTATTTAATTTCATTTCTCTCCCAGCACCAGCACTGCTGTGGAAATGTGTTCTGCCTAAAAAGGGAGATCTGGGGACACGTGGAGCTCACTCTCCCTCGGTGGAAGAGGTGTCATAATGTTTTCCACCCAATTAAATCCTTCAGTATTGGACTCAAACACCATCCAAGCAAAAGGATTTCACAAAACAAAATCATGGAGCTGTATAAGGAAGAGATTTTCCCCAGTTCTCTGGTTTCCTGCTGTTCACACAGGCAGTTTTCTTTGTTGGGAAAAGGGAATGGGGAACCCTGCACAGTGACAGTGAGGGTAGGGAGTGGCATTGCATGGTTGGAATCTCTGTAATTTGGTGCTTCCTTCAGAGAGGTGGAAAAAGCATCCACAGTGCTCTGGGTTGGAGCTCAGGAGTTGGAAGGAGTGGTCCTTTCCAACTTGGGATATTCCATGGTTCTCAATAGCTGAGAATCTCAGTTCTCAGTTCCCACTTCCATGGTTCTCAATATCTGTGAATGGCTGAGGCCTTGATGAACCAGAGAATTCCAGAATGGTTT